CACAACCACCACCACACCACCACCACAACCACCCCCACACCACACCACACTACCACCACAACCACACCACACCACCACCACAACCACCCCCACACCACAACACACCGTCTCCATCTTAGAGCCAAATACGGCAATCTATCATCGGGGGAGCTGGCTACCCCCGAAATGTCAGTGTTTTGAAGGCACAACCGTTGACGCTCGGCTAATTGCTGCAAGTTTGACACGACGAGATGAATGACCCAACACCCACTTGCTCCAGCTACACTGCAGGGGTGTAGAGGTGTGGCTGGTGTAGGACCTTCCTCCTTGTAGCAGCCGCACCCTTCAACTTGTATTACGGGATCACCATAGCCCGTGCTGCTTGGAACTGCTTGTTCCAAGTAGCGAATCTTTAACAACAACATCTTCAACTGGGTGTAGGAGTCTCCTCTTAGTGTATAATGTTGAGACAAACTGGGTCTTACGGGATCACCATAGCCCGTGCTACATGGAAACTTCGTTCTGAGTAGCTAGATTTAAAACAACAATAACTGGGTTTAGACCAAACCACACACTAGAAAGTGAAGGGACGACGACGTTTTGGTCCGTCCTGAACCATTCTCAAGTCTATTGTGATGAGGGAAGATTGATTGATTGATAAAGATTAAGCCACCCAAGAGGTGGCACGGGCATGAATAGCCCGTAAGTGGTGGCCCTTTTGAGCCATTACCAGTATCAGTAGATGATACTGGAGATCTGTGGAGGTGCGACTGCACCCTGCGTGACGGGAGATGTGCCACACACCACACTACCACCACAACCACCCCCACACCACACCACACTACCACCACATCACACTGTGGTGATGAGGAAGGAGGCAAAGGCAATAAATAGCCAAGAAAGAAGCAAGGAGAAGGAAATCTTACAGGAAGAAAAAGCAAGGCAAAAGGTACAAAGGTAAGGTGTAATAACCTTACCTTTCCCAAGGTAAGAACCCCAAATATATCTTTACCAATGATCCTATAATTTAGCTATACCTTATATTTCATCCTTATGCTAATGGCTGAACCATGAGCCAGTCGGCCGAGCGGACAGCACACTGGACTTGTGATTCTGTGGTCCTGAGTTCAATCCCAGGCACCGGCGAGAAACAATGGGCAGAGTTTCTTTCACCCTATGCCCCTGTTACCTAGCAGTAAAATAGGTACCTGGGAGTTAGCCAGCTGTCACGGGCTGCTTCCTGGGGGTGGAAGCCTGGTCGAGGACCGGGCCGTGGGGACACTAAAGCCCCGAAATCAAATCAAGATAACCTCAAGATAACCAGAAATACAAATGAATGCAACACTACATTTTCAGTCCCACAAAATAACCCTTATTCTTCACTTGGTTCATTAGTATAGCGTTAACAGCCATTACCAAATTGCTTCAGAGTAAATAAAATTAATAATTTTCCGAGTACAGCAAAGAGGGATAACCAGAGGAAACGCAGGAACTAAAGAAACAAAAAAACGAAAAAAAACAAAAGCTTTTCCGGGCTTTTCATGTTTTCATTTTCAAGAAAATGAAAACAATGTCTTTACTGGATGAGATATAACTTCTTTCTCATTTTCAAGACTGTGAAACCTTCTATTAAGATGCAAGCAATTATGAAGCTCTCTGGATGAAAGGAAAGGGTGATGGGTAAGGGGTAATGGGTGATGGGTAAGGGGTAATAGGTGATGGGTAAGGGGTAATAGGTGATGGTAAGGGGTAATAGGTGATGGGTAAGGGGTAGTGGGTGATGGGTAAGGGGTAATAGGTGATGGGTAAGGGGTAATAGGTAAGGGGTGACGGGTGAAGGGTAATTAATGGAGGGAAATGTGATGGAAAGAAGGGAGTTGAATGAGGAATGAAAAGGGGGAATGCGAAAGGATGGACGTAAGAGTAATGGGAACAAGAGAGAGAGATAAAAGGGGGATGAATGGGAGTATAAGGGGTTGAAGGGTTGATGGATTGAAGGGGTATGAATGGGAGGGGAGCGAAAAATTGACTGAAGGGGTGGGGGGTTGTTAATGGTAAGTGGTATGGATTAGGGATAGAGGGAGATCGTTAGGGGAAGGGATAGTAGATGGATGGAAAGAGAGACTAGATGCAATAAAGATGGATAGAAGAATTGACGTAAGATGGATTGACTAGGGGGAAGATGGATTGGTGAAGAGCAGAGGGCAATGATTAGTGATTGGGGGGGGGGTTGAAGTTTATGAGTAGAGGATGAATTGCATGAGAGACAAATACAAATTCTAATGGGCTTTTCAGATACAGCAAACTCAACTATAAGATCTGAGTAATATAACTAAATCTAAGAACATTAAACGATAAAATAATCAGAAGAGATATGATCACAACGTACAAAATACTTAGAAGAATAAAGTGACCAGAAACACTATTTTGCAAGTTAAGATTCTCTTTAAATATACAGTTTTATGTTATTTACTAAACAATTACACGAGATGGAAAGTGGATACAGATATCAGCCACAGAACTGACGGGAAAATGTACGATACACCAAGAGGCGGGGCCCTGGAGCTAGACACCACCCTGCCCATCCCTTTTGACCTAACTAGGCAAGAATGAAATGCACACAAAATCCCAGACTTTATCCAAAGCTCCACAGGTATTAAGACTTTAAGATGTGGGGGTTTAAGACGTCTCTCCATATTTATCTCTGTTTCCAATCTGGCAAGTGCTCTCCTAAGACATTTTTACCGACCCTGGAGGAAAATCCTCGACACAATCTCACTACATTAGAATTAGCATCAATTTGAGAGAGTCTTTCCATGGTTTTTGAGGCGTCTTAATTTTTCTTTATCATGCTGAAGGGGGGGGGGGGGGTTGTGTTGGGGGATGGGTAGGGGGGTTTAGGGGGAATGGGGCAGGACAATGCAGCGTTAATGAGGGGGGGGGGTCATGGAGGGGTTAGGAGGGGGCAGAATTTTTGTATTTCCACCTCAGTGAAAGGTATTACCTAACTAGATCAATTAGGCAAGGTTTTACCCATTTACATTTTCGAGTGGTGGGGAAGGGAATTCTGGGGTAAGTCAAGGGAGTTTGGACCTTACGTGACACGGCAGTAAGGGTCTCGTTTCCTAGCCAGACTTCGCTCTTAAGCATACATAGATAATGATTAGACTTCAGAGGTGAGTTTTTTTATCTTCTTTCGACTCTATAAGCTCTGTTATTTTGCCTGAGGAACTCCCTATGTCTTGTTTAGCATGACCTCTTCCTCTTATTCCTCTCTCTCTTCTTCCCTTCCATTCTCGGCTACCTGAATCAGGGTAATTTTGAGCTGCACATTTTATGGTTCATTCCCCTCTTTTGTGTGTGTATTTACCTAGTGCTTGCGGGGGTTGAGCTCTGGCTCTTTGGTCCTGTCTCTCAGTTGTCAATCAACTGGTGTACAGGTTCTTGAGCTTTCTGGGCTCTATCATATCATATCATATCATATCATATCATATCATATGCTGTGTGTGTGTGTGTGTGCGTGTGTGTGTGTGTGTGTGTGTGTGTGTGTGTGTGTGTGTGTGTGTGTGTGTGTGTGTGTGTGTGTGTGTGTGTGTGTGTGTGTGTGTGTGTGTGTGTGTGTGTGTGCATCTCGTTTCGGCATGACCCTAAGGGCTCGGAGGCGCAAAGTTGGTCCCAGCTCATCCCCTTATATCGAGTAATCACCTGGCCTCTCTCTCTCTCTCTCTCTCTCTCTCTCTCTCTCTCTCTCTCTCTCTCTCTCTCTCTCTCTCTCTCTCTCTCTCTCTCTCTCTCTCTCTCTCTCTCTCTCTCTCTCTCTCTCTCTCTCTCTCTCCTTACTACATCTTATCCATGTTTACCTTCCCTCTCTCGATCCTCCCCATTCTCCTGCATCCCTTCCTTACACTCCCTCTTACTTTCAGCTTCCTTCCCTACCTTTACCCCCCTCCTCCCCATCTCCCCTCTCCCTCACAGCTCATTTTTTTAACCCTGTTCTCTTTCACTCGCAGCAGTTGCCAATAATACTTTTCCCCACATTGCCAAAACGTTGTGATTTATGAGTGTGTTAAGAGATATACAGGTGGGGAAGTGGTGTCGTGTCCTCGCCATGAAGCTTCCTGGTGTAGCAGGTTCGAAACCCAGCGTCTTTGGGGGAAAAGACGGTAGAAAGAAATATCTACATTCACGCTACTGTGTAACTGCGTCTCACCGTTCGCCTGCAGTCAATGCATCTATGAGCGTGGGTTATCAATGAGGGTTTTAATATGGTTCAGGACCTGGTTGCATAATTCACCTGGTGTATGTAAAATACAGTACCCTCCTCCTACTGTATTCCTCCCACCCCCCCTCTCCCACATAGCAAATACTACCCCCCCTACCCCCAAGCCAGTCCTCACTGCCCCCAATCAGTGCACTCACTGATGAGCAATGCAGTTTGTTGACCAGACCACACACTAGAAGGTGAAGGGACGACGACGTTTCGGTCCGTCCTGGACCATTCTCAAGTCGATTGTCCGAATGCAGTAGCTTAGACTGAAGCCATTACGAGGAAGACATCAAGACTCAGTCTTAGAACTTTAATTTATATGTTAACTTTTGAATCAATATTGCATGCTAGAGACATTAATAAATCCACAGGGGCCGTGACGTGGATTCGAACCTGCGTCCGAGAGCATCCCAGACGCTGCCTTAATCGACTGAGCTACGACATGTTCATTTGATGCATCACGCAATTGTGATTTCTGTGTGCTAGAGACATATGTCTCAAATTTCCATGCCTAGGTATCTCCCCATTTAAGCTATCTTTAAATCGTATGAAGTATTACTTTACATGGTTTAAGGGCAACTTGAGTCAAGAGCCAACTATGTGATTATTAAGGGTCACGTCTCGCAAAACGGGTTGTTATATAAGGGAAATGTTATCAGTTAGCACTAACAAGCATTTTGATGTAATATGAGGTTGTTATGCACGCGACAACCGATAATTGTATAGTTGGAGGTGCCTCGCACCGCTAGGTCTAATGGATCAAACAATTGGGTTTATGGTTCATAGGGTTGATTACTGGCTGTCGATCGTCGCTGTAGCTGTCGATCGCTTCAGCTGTCGACCGCCGCTTCAGCTGTCGACCGTCGCTACAGCTGTCGATCGTCGCTACAGCTGTCGACCGTCGCTACAGCTGTCGACCGTCGCTACAGCTGTCGATCGTCGCTACAGCTGTCGACCGCCGCTACAGCTGTCGACCGCCGCAACAGCTGTCGACCGCCGCAACAGCTGTCGACCGCCGCAACAGCTGTCGACCGTCGCAACAGCTGTCGACCGTCGCTACAGCTGTCGACCGTCGCCACAGCTGTCGACCGTCGCAACAGCTGTCGACCGTCGCTACAGCTGTCGACCGTCGCTACAGCTGTCGACCGCCTCTACAGCTGACGACCGTCGCTACAGCTGTCGACCGCCGCTACAGCTGACGACCGTCGCTACAGCTGTCGACCGCCTCTACAGCTGACGACCGTCGCTACAGCTGTCGACCGTCGCTACAGCTGACGACCGTCGCTACAGCTGTCGACCGTCGCTACAGCTGTCGACCGCCTCTACAGCTGTCGACCGCCACTACAGCTGTCGACCGCCGCTACAGCTGTCGACCGCCGCAACAGCTGTCGACCGTCGCTACAGCTGACGACCGTCGCTACAGCTGACGACCGTCGCTACAGCTGTCGACCGTCGCTACAGCTGTCGACCGCCTCTACAGCTGTCGACCGCCACTACAGCTGTCGACCGCCGCTACAGCTGTCGACCGCCGCTACAGCTGTCGACCGCCGCCACAGCTGTCGACCGCCGCCACAGCTGTCGACCGCCGCTACAGCTGTCGACCGCCGCAACAGCTGTCGACCGTCGCTACAGCTGTCGACCGTCGCTACAGCTGACGACCGTCGCTACAGCTGTCGACCGTCGCTACAGCTGTCGACCGCCGCTACAGCTGTCGACTGCCGCTACAGCTGTCGACCGCCGCTACAGCTGACGACCGCCGCTACAGCTGTCGACCGCCGCTACAGCTGTCGACCGTCGCTACAGCTGTCGACTGCCGCTACAGCTGTCGACCGCCGCTACAGCTGTCGACCGCCGCTACAGCTGTCGACCGCTGCAGCTGTCGACCGCCGCTACAGCTGTCGACCGCTGCAGCAGTCGACCGCCGCTACAGCTGTCGACCGCCACAGCTGTCGACCGCCACAGCTGTCGACCGCCGCTACAGCTGTCGACTGCCGCTACAGCTGACGACCGTCGCTACAGCTGTCGACCGCCGCTACACCTATCGACCGCCGCCACAGCTGTCGACCGCCGCCACAGCTGTCGACCGCTGCAGCTGTCGACCGCCACAGCTGTCGACCGCCACTACAGCTGTCGACCGCCACAGCTGTCGACCCAGTAAAACAGATCTTACCTGTTTGTGGAGTGCCCTCCACAAACAGTGCCCTGTCGACAGTGCCCTGTCGACCGCCGCTACAGCTGTCGACTGCCGCTACAGCTGTCGACCGCCGCTACAGCTGACGACCGTCGCTACAGCTGTCGACTGCCGCTACAGCTGTCGACCGCCGCTACAGCTGTCGACCGCCGCTACAGCTGTCGACCGCTGCAGCTGTCGACCGCCGCTACAGCTGTCGACCGCTGCAGCAGTCGACCGCCGCTACAGCTGTCGACCGCCACAGCTGTCGACCGCCACAGCTGTCGACCGCCGCTACAGCTGTCGACTGCAGCTACAGCTGACGACCGTCGCTACAGCTGTCGACCGCCGCTACACCTATCGACCGCCGCCACAGCTGTCGACCGCCGCCACAGCTGTCGACCGCTGCAGCTGTCGACCGCCGCAGCTGTCGACCGCCACAGCTGTCGACCGCCACAGCTGTCGACCCAGTAAAACAGATCTTACCTGTTTGTGGAGTGCCCTCCTCTTCTCACCTGCGGCTTCTTACCTGAAAGTAAAACACTAAATTTAATTGACTCTTGTCAATTTAATGTTTCGTCACAGAAACATTAGAGAATATATTATATTTATAAATGATTTTAATCATAGATTTTATTTTATTAACCTATTACACAATGTGTATTAATAATGTGATCTGAATATTAGATCATAACACCACCAATAGAGTCACGATGTACTCTTTAGGAAGCCAGATACCACCAATAGAGTCACGATGTACTCTTTAGGAAGCTAGGCACCAAAAATAGAGTCAAGACGTACTCTTTAGGAAGTTAGACACCACCAATAGAGTCACGATGTACTCTTTAGGAAGTCAGACACCACCAATAGAGTCACGATGTACTCTTTAGGAAGTCAGACACCACCAATAGAGTCACAATGTACTCTTTAGGAAGTTAGACACCACCAATAGAGTCACGATGTACTCTTTAGGAAGCTAGGCACCACCAATAGAGTCACGATGTACTCTTTAGGAAGCTATAGAGCGTGCTCCACCACACACACAGTAACTCTACCCTCTCAAGGAGACGATATTGAAGGTGTCTAATATGTGCGACAGATATTGACTACTGAGCGGCAAGCGATGGCTCCCAATAAACATATGCGCCGTTCACTAAAGATATTTGATTTCAACACTTCCAAGAGGACATGGAAAATTATCAAAATCAAATTCGGCTCAATAAATTTAGGTCAATAGGTCTCTTGTAAGTGTTATCCTTCTAATTTCTAATCCTAGGATATCCATCACAATATTTCATTGAATTGGGATTATGGATTGAAAATATCACTTTTTGTAGGTTTAATGAATTATGATAATTTAAAAAAAATAATTTTTGTGTCGATTTCAGTGATCTGTTTAGACTTTGATCTATTTATTCACTCTCCGGCTTTCTTATGCACTCGACTCTGAGTTCCCAATGTGATCTGTTCACTCTATGGAGTTCATGGTCGTTAGGTTCCTATTTATCAATCTTTCAAATCAGATCCAAATCAGTTTTGGATATTCCTATCACGTCTGTGACTTGTACTCAGTACGACTTGCACTCATATTCCCGTCTGTGGCTTGTACTCAGTACGAACTCTCAGCGTCGGTATCTATCTCTTCACTCATCAAAAAGCTTCTTAGTGACTTGATTTTAGCTATAAACATTCATAGAACATTGAAATATCATTGTCTGTGTTGTAAGTTGAAGATACGGATCTGAAACACATCTCTCTCTCTCTCTCTCTCTCTCTCTCTCTCTCTCTCTCTCTCTCTCTCTCTCTCTCTCTCTCTCTCTCTCTCTCTCTCTCTCTCTCTCTCTCTCTCTCTCTCTCTCTCTCTCTCTCTCTCTCTCTCTCTCTCTCTCTCTCTCTCTCTCTCTCTCTCTCTCTCTCTCTCTTCTCTCTCTCTCTCTCGCGCTCTCTCTCTCTCTCTCTCTCTCGCTCGCTCTCTCTCTCTCTCTCTCTCTCTCTCTCTCTCTCTCTCTCTCTCTCTCTCTCTCTCTCTCTCTCTCTCTCTCTCTCTCTCTCTCTCAACCACTTGGGGTGGACGGTAGAGCGAGGGTCTCGCTTCATGCAGGTCAGCGTTCAATCCCCGACCGTCCACAAGTGTTTGACCACCATTCCTATCCCTCGTCCCATCCCAAATCCTTATCCTGACCCCTTCCCAGTGCTATATAGTCGTAATGACTTGTCGCATTCCTCTAACAATTCCATTCTATTCTCTCTCTCCGGCACAACGCCTTATCTCGTCTGTCAAGGAATGCCCAACCACCTTCTCCAGAAGCGGATAATGAGAAGGGGCGAACATGTAAAGCATCACTAACAATGACCAGTGTGTTGTGAGGGCTTCACATGGGTTCACCATCAAGACTGTGGCCAGGTTTCCTCCTCACTATCAAGTTGCCACAGGGCTAACACGGAATAATATATATTGTGCTTCTACAAGTTCAATTTAAGGAACATCAAACTGTTGTTGCTCCCAATGTTTGCTGCAATTCAACATTTAATGGGGCAATTGATGTAATTAGATCATAATATTCAGGTTTATGATTTGATTGTGATTCTTGTAACTGTTAAGACCTATTTTTTGCATTGAAAATGTTCTTTCATTTTTTTATGTCAATGTCGCAAAGCCACAGACCTCGTAAGATCAGGTTGTTATAGGACCTCGTAAGATCAGGCAGTCATACGACCTCGTAAGGTCAGGCTGTCATAGGACCTCGTAAGATCAGGCAGTCATACGACCTCGTAAGATCAGGCAGTCATACGACCTCGTAAGATCAGGCAGTCATACGACCTCGTAAGGTCAGGCTGTCATAGGACCTCGTAAGATCAGACTGTCATACGACCTCGTAAGGTCATGCTGTCATAGGACCTCGTAAGATCAGGCTGTCATAGGACCTCGTAACATCAGGCTGTCATACGACCTCGTAAGATCAGACTGTCATTCGACCTCGTAAGATCAGGCTGTCATACGACTTCGTAATATCAGACTGTCATACAACCTCATAAGATCAGGCTGTCATTCGACCTCGTAAGATCAGGCTGTCATACGACTTCGTAAGATCAGACTGTCATAGCATCTCGTAAAGATGTCATTACCATAGAAAAGAGAATTAGGTTCGTATTTTCGTAATGAATTTCGTAATTTTCGTTATACCCAACAGTGACATTGGTTCAACGTTAAATTCATAATACCAACGATAATCAACGTGAAATCAGCGTTAATAACGATGATTCGGCGTTGTTCTTGAATATGATGCTAACAGGAATGTCAATC